AAGAATGGAAGAGCAAATGTTCTTTCATTTAAAGTTAACGACCTAGTACTACTGTCTACGGTAAACTTACCTGGACATGCAGTCACTAGTGTCGGCAGTAGTAAACTACTGCCGAAGTACATTGGGCCATTTCGAGTGTTGCATCGCAAGGGCAATGCATACACGACTCGAATTGCCACGTAAGATGCGCACGCATCCTACGTTATACGTGGGGAGGCTCAGGCCGTACTGTCAGTACGAGCCTTCTTCTTCCGATGAAGATAGCCCCACGTTCAAGAACATCCATCAAGTTCTTGCGTTCGCGCTCCAGACTATCCGTCTGGTCGCGCAGCTATGATACCTCGGAACTAAACAGAGATATCTCCCCGCGAGCTGTCGCCAGCTCGCCGAAAAGGGAGCGGACATCCCGCTCGACCTGAACCTGCGCTGTGGCATAATCGGCGCGATCCTTCGCCCGATCAGCCTCGTGATCCTTGCGATTATTCCGCACGGTATCAGTCAAAGCGTAGCGCCGGACGCTCTCGTGCTATCAAGTCATCGCGCAATTCATCGATTGCGCGATCCATCTCGTAAGGGTCGAGATGATGAACCGAATCATCTGGAGGAGGTCTTTCCTCCTCCACCACATCCTTTGGTGGATTCTCACGATGGTCAACGCTTCCTAGTGGAGCGTAACTTGAACCACCGTGACGATTCAGGATCAAAGACGAGCTACCTCGTCCAGTGGCGGGGGTATCCACCCTCTTGGAACAGCTGGGAGCCCCGCTCCCAGCTGTTGATGGACGTTGAAGGTCTCGTCCGCCAGTATTACGAGACTCATCCGATTAGTCCATGGGACAATCGGTAAACACGCGCCCTAGGCGCTTGTAGACGGATTGCAAGTTTGCAATCGCGTCACGCATCTCCTCCGAGATGTGTGCCCTTCCCCAGGGTGAGCTTAGGGAATACACGTCCCTATGTGCACGTTGCGAGTTGTCAGTACAACTCGCACAAGGATCTCCCCAAGTGAGGCGAGGAATGCCGGCCTCAATTGATAAACAATGCAACCGGTACCTGGCACCGGTTGGCGTTCGCTTTTCGAACCTGAGGCGTGTCGCCTCAAGTTTCTTGAGCCACCCTTCTCGTCCAAAATTATTTACGTTTTGGACGAACGCGTTCCACGCAGCCAAAAGCGAGTTTTTGTCACGCTTTTGGTTGCTGTTGTACCATAGATGTCAAAGGAAGACATCGTGATAAAAATCTTCCTCAGCGCGAAAGTTACTCGCGCTGGGATCCAAGCCGTGAAGCTCAGTCGCATCGAATAAGGGTATTCGATGGTGTTGGCTTGTCTCGTTAGACAAGACATTGATGATCCGTTCAGGCAAACGCCACGGCTTCAGCTCATCACGATTCACAGTGGTACCCTTGCCGGTACCACGGCTTTCAGAATGACGATGGGTTGCACCATCGTCATCACGCTCGTGCGAAGAAGCACGAGTCGGCGGTGGTAAGGAGTAATACTCCTCACCACCCTGATCACCTTCATCATCACTGCCGAACAGACTGTGATGCAACTCACGAGTCCGTTCGTTCGGCAGTGGCCTTGGCGAATACTGAGGCGTCGCCGGTGATCGAAACGCCTCTGTAACATTGCCCGAGTCAGACACGTCTGACTCGCCAGAGTAGATGACCTCAATGTCGGGGTCATCATGCGCACGCGGTGTTGTACCGCGTGCACCTTCAGCACCTGCTGCTGCAGGCGGAGAAGGAGCAGCAGACGACGAATCGTCTGCCGCAGAGGCTGGCACAGCAGCAGGCTGTGCGGGTCTTGAGTCACCTCGCATAGACATGTTAACGATGCGAGGACGGGTGGAAAGTGAATGGAACGGACCCAACAAGTGCTCCCTGTCCCAATGGTGTCCAACGGGTGGCCGCCATATTTTTGATAGTCACACGGTGACTATCAGTTAAAGGGGGGTCATGTAACGGGGCAGCCCGTTACATGGAATTGTCATTTGAGAGATAATGACAATAAATGATATCATGTTGAATATTCTTTGAACAATACCACCAACAGTGGTGATATTGATGGGTCGACCAAAGAGTCTGCTCATTGCTTGATATCTTGACGATACCAACCCACCATTCGCCGCAAGACGCGCGCAACGAGTGGTGACGAGACGTCACCATACACTCAGTTAGATTAGTATAATTACGTTAAGTCAAACCGAGAGACAGTGGTTAAATACTTAATTATATTAATATAACAGTTCTGCTTTTTCCTTATCTACGCTTCCTCGTTTGCCTCGTGTACGTCTGTCGGGGCACCAAAACCCTTGCGTTAAGTTCACGCAAGGGTGTGCCCTGTTACAGGATCGACGCAGACTTCGCGGCAGACAAATCGAACTGTAAGTCTGTGTCTTGTTGTGTATTGACCATAGATAGCTTGGCTATCCTTTAGTTGTGCAAGAAGCAATCTGGTGTGTCGCTGAGCACAATGGAGGCAGAGTTCATCGCGTCATTTCAAGCTTGACGCGAGCTGCTGGGGATGAACGGACTGCTCGACGAGCTGAAGCTGATCGTCGTCAAGCCAATGCCGATGTGGATGGATAACCAAGCGGCTATCAAGCAGATCAATTCGGAGAAGAGTACGTCAGGCGCCAAGCACGTGGACGTCACGTTCAAAATTATCTGCAACTACGAGAAAGAAGTGACCGTGGTTCCAAGGTTTGTCAAGTCCCAAGACATGATGACCGATATCCTGAAGAGGTCTCTACCGGCACCAGGAATGGAAGAACTACGCGCGATGTTTGGATTGAAGACGACTCAGGATGACACCGAGGAGGAGTGTAAGATGAACCTGTTTAGAAACGTCTTGTCAGTCATTGTTATGTTACAGTTTCAACGGATATAACATGTGACGGTGACACCTGATTGGCCAAGTCCACAAACATCTTGACAGATGGTGAGACGAGGCTACGACGGTGACAGATCGTGTGACGAGGCAACGACAGTGACAGGTGTCGTGACAGGATGGTGATGGACCAGGTGGCGGGAAAAGGTAGCGATATGAACGTTGGAAGACATGGCGACGGCTTGAGAGATGAGAGGGAAGACGGACGCAATCATGTTATGGTAAAGTTGCAGTGTATGTAATACTATTGTGTTCGCGAACGAAGAAAACACTTGCATATATTCACTTCTACTTCTACCTCTTCGCACACAAGTGCCTTTGTTCTACACGCAAACTTCCAACAAAATATCTATAATGCAAAGTTCGTTCTCGAATTGTTTGGCGAAAATTCGATCGTTTCCATCTTCTGCCGCATTTCTTGTTTTTGTGATGTTTGTGATGTTTGTGCTTCAAAGCATTAGATTATTTTATCTTTTTCGAAAGTATTTCATCATCATCCTAAGTGATGTAAGAGGCCGGTGCGCCCTAACAACACAAATTTATTGCCATGAGAAGAGCGAAATTGCAACCAGGCCTATAATTTATGAATAGTGTTATATATTTTGATCGTCCGACACCACATCCCTTTGTACGGCAGTAAATGCAGCGTTTCGATTTGATGAAACCTTGAATTTTTAGTCTAAATATAAGAAATAATATCTTCTCTCAGATTTAAAACATGCGGATGCGGACTGCTCAAATAAAGCCATCATGTCAATACCATATTTAATATTCTAATCGCAAATATTTCTAGCCCTTTTACCGTTGTTGGTTTTACATCTAAACAATAAGCTATGGTCGAGCGCCTTGTTAGTTGGTGCAGATTTTGTCCTTGTTTGTCGTTATGAAACGAAATGGTACAAAGTGGTGCATCGGCTCACCATGGCGCTGGAATCCACGTACGAAAGGAAACACCTTCATAGTTTGCTTGCATACCGAAGCCACTCAGTCTTGGAGAAGCAGACATAGTATGCGTTGCCTACATGGTGGTCGGGCATGACGTCCGAGGCAATGAGCATTGACGTACACGTAGACTTCGTGCTACCTAGTATGCTAAGCCTCTTGTTGCGTGATTGAGCGCACGCAATGCCGCAGGTGGAAAAATGATAGAAGACCAATTACTGCTGCGTCATTGTCGTGGTGTTAGCGCAGGTTTGCTTGATCAGCGTTTGTTTTTTGCATTGTTGAGAGCATCACAAGCTGTTCTGCGAAAAGGCGGTGGTCACTGTAATACGAGAGTCAGCAATGAAACGGCTCGCTCGATGCAATGGCCGCCAACTGACAAATGTCGCGTTCATTACGTTGCATGCGTCGTCTAGCCGTATCCACTTTATCGATTGCGCGAGAGACGTGACTGGCATTAAGCATGTACGAGTGGGAAGACGAGCAATGAAGGCTACGACACCCAGAAACGTGTGGCTTCACACAAGATCGAGGCCACCAAACTGATTTTTTTGAGCGCCATGAGCTGTGTCAAATCCCGGTCTGAGCTACGTTTTGTTGCATGGTCAGGGCGCCGCGTAGAACTGTGTAGTAGTGGCGATGGTGCACTGGATGCAGTCGACCTGATCGGCTGCTGAATGTCACGACTGTAACCGCCGATGAGACCGTCAAAATCGGTCCAGTCGGTTGGTACTAGAAGACGAGAAGATAGAAGGTTCGGGCAATGACGTGACGTGCTTTGGAGAAGCTGTCACCACTGTGAGCTAAGTACCCGCGTGACCGTCAGATGGCGCTCAGCTTCGACATGGACACAGACAGTACCACCACAAAAGAGCTGCCATCGGGCTAGAACCAGCTTGCCATACTCTGCGCACGTCGAGGGAGATGAGTGGACACGGGAAGTATCATCGATGGAACAGTTATCGGGGATGTGTGAGGAAGGACCAGACTCAGACCAACCCCCACTTCAAGCAGGTTGGCTGGTCTTTCTCTTCGATCGATATCGTCGTTGTTTCCCGACCACCGAGCACTTGGCGCCAATCATTCGCTTCGGTAAACCTCAGCATCAGTCATTGCGCAACTTGCCGTCTCGAACCCGCTATCTCCTGCCGATCCTAGTCGTCCAATGTGTCCAGCGATCTTCTTGTCCGCGGCACTGCTCTGCCTTGTGACATGTGGCTATGCCGTCAAAGCAGCATCAGACTTGCAGAACCCCATCACGTCGGACGTCAACTCGCCTGCGATGGCCAATGACAACCGGATTCAATCTGATGCGAATACGAAGCAACGGCGCCTGTTTTCGACGTGGGATAAGAAGCATTCGGAACCTGAAGCCGACCCGCAGGCGGCTGCAATGGACAGCGTTGCCGAGGACGCGCAATTCGACAACATTGGCGCGCCAGCTCGTGAAAGCACCTACGTCCCATACAGCGATGACAGCATCGATAGCTCGGACCTTTCCGACAGCTCGGACTTTTCCGACAGCTCCGACACCGTCGGTGTGGCCAGCAAATCCGGTCGAATACCTCACTGGCGTCTCTACGTTTACGCTTTGAAGTACAGGAGGTACTTCAAGTGGGACCATCGTACTCGTGCGCAAGTGCTGCAAGACCTCGCCATTAACGAGGAATATCACGACGGCTGGACTCGACACAATACGTATCTCGACAAAGGCTACCTCGTGTATCTCGACAAGCAATGTGCACGTCCCAAAAACATCAACGAGCCCGCTTGTGCTTAGGGACTCGTCAAGGTCTGCTTGTCAGAAGGGACAATGTGGTCACTTTTCATGCCGACAGCGTTGCGTAGTGTCCTTCTAACAGTTGTGAAGACGTCTGGTTTGGCATCTAAGATCTCGCGACACTACCAACTAACTGACTGAATGACAGATGCTGTCTGGGTTTTTCTTACCCCTTTGTCGGGTCGATGCGGATAGAGAACCGGTTTTGATTTTAAGTTGTAGGGAGACTTGTTCGACAGGCCACTTTCGAGACACGACAGTGTTAGATTTGCTTTGCGATGAATGTGCCGAGGAGCACTTTTGCTCGTAAACTGCCTCGATAGAACATGTGATTGGTCTGCGTCGCGTCAGAAGAGCCGAACAAAGTGTCGAAGGGAAGGGGCAGAAGGGATACTGTCGATCCCAGCTTCTGAGTCCCATGTAACAAAAAAGGGAATCTGCTTCAGTATCAAACGTTCACTGTAGAAGATCCCCTTGACCTATAATTCAAAATCACTGCTTGTTTCCGGCTTTTGAGCACTCGCTCCGCAGACGTTGCAACACCAAAGGGCTCTCTCTCCTACACTCGGACTTCGCACGGCAGCTACAGTTTAGTCGACTTAGGTTCGCTCGTTGCAGTCGGTCAAAACTCTGAGAAGTAGACTGTCGAGTATAATAAAATGCGTAGCGATAAGTTGTAGACCCGTTTTCCATGCGGCAGCAGTAGACTATTGTCAAAGGAGAAAAAACGCTATCGTGTTGCAGACTTCGTGGTTATGCAAGAACTCGGGACGGTGACAGCACTACGCCTGATAATATCTTGATCCTGTCTCTTCATACTATACAAGTCGCCGCGATTGTCGGCATCCGAAAACGTAAAGGCCCCTTCGAGGCGGCAAGTTGGACTAATGTCGCAGCTCACCTCTTTGTACAACAATGCGACCGTCCATAAATACAATGCAGAATGTATATCGATTCATTGCGCCACCTTGAAAGCGATTCGTGCTTCCACTACGTGCACCAGTTGCAAGTAAGGTCGGGAAGCTTCCTTCCGCCATTTTAAGGCAGTGCTATTGTACCATTACTGCTGTATCCTTTTTCGACTGACTTCGACAAGACGAGAAGAGAAACCAATAAAAGCCTCACGACCAAAGCTAAAAGGCCACGACTAGGGGCACACCCCACTTTTGCTACGGGCACACCCGCCCTCCTAAACCGATAAAAAGGACTTCCAACTCTCCGAAACTATACAGCACTAAGCTGCACGACCTCGCGGGAACGACTCGGTTGCTACTTGCTCCACTGTGATACCATTGTACGTACTACGCTTAGTGTGTTTCTTCCTAAAGCGAGGGTCATGATGATGTATTGACCGGCGACAGAAGACGGCTGTTGTCTGGCTTTTGCTTGCATCCATCAGTGCGCGACAACGTTTGTCATAAGCGTCTGGATCCAATTGTCTTCAGCATCGACACTGTTGAGCTTTCGTGCGGCCACTTAGCCCAGCAGCAAGCCGCGGCCAGAGTCGGGCGACTCGATGCCCCACTCGCGCTATCTTGTAAGAATGATCCATCTTTCTGCTCGGTGAACTTACGGGACGACAAGTCCGGGTTGATGCGGTTGACGTGTCGGTCCCGAAGCGCTGGCTGTGTTCGCCCGGGCACATTCTGACAAATGTCGTTCCACGGCACTTGATCCTGATTGGACTCACTGCCTTTTGGCACGTATGCACGAAGTGCGAGCAGCAGCCGTCTATCCTCACTCAGCGAGAACTTGCCTCACCGAAGACCTGGTGCAAGCGAGAGCTGCCATCGATGGCGGATCTGCTCCGACACACGGCCATCCATCAAATCTGCAACCACGTTCCGCTTTTCGCCAAAGACCGGGACAGCTTCACGCAGGTTCGAATCTTCTTCTGGCGTAAAGGTTGACCGCGTGTTTCCCGCGTTCAGCGCTGTCTTGCACCAAGTAAGACAATGAGCTGCTGGTCTTCCCGGCACTGGCATGCGCTCTCTTTCTCCCACGCGCCAAGCTGAAACGTCGGCGACTCGTGCAAGTCATACCATAATTTGCACGCAATACCCGAACGTTCAATTGGAAACTTTCTCGACTTGCGCGCGTCCTGCCACGCGCGAAGTTTGTTCCACGCTTGCAGAAATACCTCCACGTTAGCGGCGTGTGTCATGTAGAAAGCTTTGGCAAAGTCCGCGACGACTTTACGCTCTCGACTCGTGTAAATCGTTGGGGGCCCAGCTACAAACGACTCGTGACTGTGAGCACGTGGAAACTCGGATGTCGTTGCCACTGCCAATGGTCAGATCTTGGCATCGTACCATTGGATTGTATACCGTTTTCGAGACAGTAGAGATTCCAGCAGGCATTGCCGTTCGGACACCGCCCGGGCAAAGATGGATTGATCAAATCTCGCGCACTAATGCATTTACCGTTTAAGATCGGGACAAAGCGAGCAGTAGTAAGTGACTACGTGTTTTACTTATTCTGCACCGTAAAATGTGAAGTCTTTTTTAGGAGGGCGGGGGTGTGCCCCTAGCAAAAGTGGGGTGTGCCCCTAGTCGTGGCCAAACTAAAAACGTCGTTGCGGTCGGACCGAACAAGTTTGCGTCACAGTGTCCAATGAAAAGACGACTTTTCGTAGCCAATTGTCCGGCAAACATGGGCCGTGCTCCTCGAGGAGGGGCCGATAGCGCCACGTTCAAAACACGTCCACGCAGTCGAAAGCGCTCTTTTACAGCATCGAATGCGGTAACGGACACTGAAAGTGCTCCATCTGCCTCGTGTTGCACAAAATCGACTCGCAGCTCGTCAAACTCAAACGTGTCACTGGTAATCACTTCGTCCCTCGGTCAGAAAAAAGTAAACGTGGAGGCGGTACCCCTTCGACCAAGTCGCACCAGCTCTTCCGTGCTCTCTTCTTGTGACCAGGACACGTTTTCTTGCCATGACTCAGTTGACCGTCGGATCCTGTGGCGGTACCCGAACCTGATCCCCGCGCGACTTCTTCGTCGCTACAAACGCTTTTTGGCGGACGTTGTGCTGTTGTCGCCTGATACAGTTGATGGTGACCAGAGCACTGCTGGGACAGCCTGTGGAAAAGAGGTGGCAGGAACAGCAGCTACTGGAGACGACGAGGGTGCTGTCGATGAGGTAGTGACTGTGTACTGTCCCAACACTGGACCAATGGTGGGGCTATTGGACGGCCTCCCGAACGCTCGTGTGCAACTGTCAAAGAGCAGCGACCCCAAACGCAAGTACGCGTATACCCTCGAGATGATCCAGATACACGTACGTAGAGGAAGTACCTTTGACTGTGCAGAGAGCTCAATCAAGTTATAACGGAGTGGCTGGTGTGCTAACATGTTGCAGAACGGAGAGCGGAAGGTCTGGGTTGGCGTGCACTCTACCTCTGCCAATCGCATGGTCGAACAAGCACTTACCTCTCGGTGGCTAGCCGAGCTTGGCCACTACGACTCTGTGCGGCGTGAGGTGAAGTTTGCCAAGAGTAGTCGTGTCGACTTTGTGCTCGTGACAAACGCCGAAGACGGTTCTGTCGCTCATGAAAAGTACGTCGAGGTGAAGAGTGTGACGCTCTCGATGGAAGGATGTGGTCAGAGCGTATCGCGCTGTGCTGTTTTCCCTGACACGGTGTCGACTAGGGCTCAGAAACACGTCGTCGAGTTGACAGAATTGCTGTCGACAAACGGCAAAGCTCAAGTTCACCAGAAGAGCGAGACCGCAACACCGGAGCGGAGCGTCGCCATTGTCTTTCTTGTACAGCGCGACGATTGTCATGCGTTCGCTCCATCCATTCAGCACGACAAGAAATTTGCTGAACTGTGCGCGATTGCAGCAACCAGCGGGGTCCAACTGCTGGCTTATGCATGCGCTTTGGAGCCTGACGAGTCCAATGGGTCGGGAGCTGTGCGGCTCGTAGAGGCACTGCCACTGCATGAAAGCTAAGCTTGGCTTTGATGCTTTTCAAGCCGTCAAGTTTGCTCGCACTTGTAAGTGTGTCTTTTCCAAGAAGTCGGCAGGAAGATTATGGTCTTCGAGCGCCAGAAGCGAAGAAAAGGGTGGTGCTACAATCCGACATAACTGCTACTCGTCGGTCACTTTCCGAGGTGTTTGTGGTGAGATGGAGCATGACGATCGATTTCTTGCTGGCGAGTTTGCTGCCGACCGCGGCAAGGAGAAGCGTGGGAAGCCCGAAAAACAAGATCAAGGAGAGCGGTGGAAGACTGACGAAAGTCGACACATCTACAGTAGTCATGATCGAGAGCCAAACTCATCGAGGGGGTCAATACTGAGAGCGAAGCAGTTCTGGGATTATGATTATAAATGGGCAAAACGCGGTCAGTGTCCATGGTTCAAACCAAGATTGCTGAGGAAGGCACAATTGTGTGCGATGGCAATTGCGCGTAGGCAACTAACGCTGTCCACCACGCCATGACAATGCCGGCACCCTCGACTGTCCATGCACTCCTAGCAACAAGAGCAGTCAACGATACTGCGTGTTGATGTCCAAAGGCCGACGATGTAGTACCTCATGTCACACAATATGCGGCTTTTGTGCCGTCCTTCTGTAGTTCAACTTTCACTTGTACATCGCGTCAACCCCTTTTTCCTACGTCAAGGCAAACTCGAAGCCGACTGACCTTGAAGCCGACTGACCTTGAAGCCTCTTTTATCACTTGACGGCGTTTTGCTGTGACAAAGCCTTTGGTAACTCCAGACTCGTCTTCAGCTTTTGTCGGCGGCACTTGCTTCTTTTGCATCAAACGCGATTCATCGAATGACGACGTTCCGCCGACCTGTAAAGCATGGCTTGGCTGTATGCGCTCAGATACTGCTTTCTTGCCTGTCAGCCGTTGGTTTTGTGTGCTCTGTTCAACAAGCCGCCGACAGGATGTCAGTGCGCGCGTACAACCTTGTGCATTTTATCTTCACGGAAGTCGCAGGCAGACATGGTCGCTAGTCAAGTCGGAAGAGGTGCCTTCTTCGTCGCGAATCGTAAAGCTTCGTTCTCTTTCTGCTCACAGTCTGCTGTACTGCTCTTCGTGTGCATTTAGCGCTGCTTCTTTTGTTCGCTGTGCGTGATAGTGACGAGCGAAGGTCTCACGAGTGTCGTGCAATCTCTACAAAAGTCAAGCGCAAATGCAACAGAGCTGCTGTTGCAAACGGCAATTGTCATCCAGCTACACATTCGCTCTTCCATCTCGACTTCGCTGGTACATACGCAAGTGCTACTTTGACCCAAATTCGGCTTCCCATTCCTCATACCGACGGAGCTGGTCGTGCCCAACTGACTTTGATACGTTGCATAGCGCTTCAACAAAGTCCGCCTAGGCACACGAGCAAAATCAGAACACCTCGGCAGAGCAATCGTTGATATCAACAACATGTTCACCTTAGTCACTACAAGTCGTTCCGTCTCGACTTCACGGTGCACCTCGCCTGCTTCCATATCTCGCCGCATCTTGAGCAACAACTCTGGAGTGTAAACACGTTTGACAGGCATGCGCTTGGCTAGCGACAAAGCGTAAGCCTCATGGTCCAAACCCACAATTCTGCGTGCGAACATAGATCACATACCCGTTTCGCAGACGTTCGTGATATCGTCGCCGCTGTAACCCTACGGCAGACTCGCGGCGTACATAAATTACGCGACTGGATTGCACACAGCTAGACACAACACAACACTGTGCATACCTCCGTATCGCTGACAAGCTCATCCAGCTTCACATCCTTGCTGACGTCAATCCGACCCAAATTGAGTTCGAACAACGTCCGACGTGCTTCGCTTCCAGGTAAAGGGATGTACACGCGCTTCGTCAATCGCCGTCGCATGGCTTCGTCCAATTCCCAAGGAAAGTTAGTAGCTGCGAGAAGCATCACTTGTCTGCCATTGTGCTCCACGGACGTTACACCACTGACTTGAACCAACAGCTCCGTTTTCACCCTGTAAGCAGACTCCATTAGACCCCAATCTATTGTCCATTGTCGCATACTGTACTCACCTTCGGCTCGCTTCATGTTCTGTTACAGCCCCCCTTGTCGACGCAATAGCATCGATCTCATCCATGAAGATAATGGACGGTTCGTAATAGCGCGCCATGTCAAACAATATTCGCACCAATTTTTCCGAATCCCCTCGGTACTTTGACGACAGCGTCGAAGCAGATACGTTGAAAAACGTTGTTCCGCATTCGTGCGCAACGGCCTGGTGCACAAAGAAAGAAAGCGGGATCAGAACAGTGCACTCAGCTACGGACGATGTCGCACTGCAGTCACCTTCGCAAGAAGCGTTTTTCCGGTTCCCGGCGGGCCGAACATCAGTACACCATTGCACGGTTTGAGAAGTCCATCCTTGATGAACAGCCAACACCATTACCATCAACATGTCACAAGACAAACATGTGGCTGAAAGGCAATCGGATAGCAGCACCAACCGAGAATAGATGCGGTGCCATTTGGGGAAGCATAACAGTCTCCTGCAACAGCTGCTTGATGTGCTCGAGACCAGCAACGTTCTCAAACGTGACTTTCTCGCCGTGGTCGACAATGTCCCGCTCAATAACTTCAATAAGCTCTTGGTCTGCCCAGCCATTTTCTTTCGCTATTTCCGAGTACTTCTGTTTGCCTGCAATCGTATCTCGACAAGCTCCAGTACTGTTCGAGCTCGCTGCACTCTGGGCACTTTCACGCCGCTTTGCAGACCGCACTTCCCGCCGTCCTGCCGTCGACTGCTTTGAGTTCCTGCACACAGCTGGCAACGTTCCACTGCGCTTCGCCCGCTTGCGAACTTGATTGTCTGTACAAAGCATACCAGAGTTGCAATAATCAACATCTCCGTTGCACCAAAACAGCTACAATCGACAAAATACTCAACCACAACCCGAAGATGGCCTCGTCGTAGATTTTGGCGCGGTTTTCCGATTTTGATATAGCTGGCGAGCTCTAAATACGAATACACACATACACACCATTGTCAGCACCAGGACCAATTGATGACAGTCGGTACGACGACCTTTTCCTGGTGTTTATGCACTGTACCTTGACAGTTCAGTAGCACGTGGCTCGCCTCGGTGCATCCACAATGGCACCTGTCTCTGCTTCGATCGAGCAGCAACAACCGCCGCTCCTTCCTGTCGCGAACGTCGCGACGAATTCTCCCTCTATACCCTCGTCACCAACGATAGGTCACGGACATCCACATGAGCTCCTCTTCGTCGTTGGAACCAAATGCCTTCCCTTCGAAAGCGGCTATAACACCTACCGTCTGCCCGTTTTTACTTGCAGTAGCACGTCGGACTGTACCGACACTCGTTGCTGTCGGCTCGTTCAGTCGTTGGCCATTGTTTGCACTCTCAACTCGGCTGCGTCGGTGACGTTGCTGCACCTGTTGCCCCACGCTCGATAACGTCTCCAGTGACGTACGGTACTCCACAATCGTCTGGTACTCGAGCTGCAAATCGTCTAAAAACTGCACATACACCGCCACCACCACCACGACGACGAAAACGCATGATAAACAAAGCACAAAATAAAGCAGTCAGTGAATACCGGTACAAATCCCCGCCCACTTGCGCTGGTGACTGCTGGGTTACCTCACGCGCACGCGACACGCCGCTTAGCTGCGCCTCGAGCGTCTGTTTCACGGCACGGAACTCGAGAATGCCTTGATCGTACTCGCCGACGAGGCACAGCTCTCTCGCCCGCAGCAGCGCGTGCTGCACCGCGGCCGATGTCGTCATGCTCACGTGTGATTGGACAAAAAGACCCCGTTTTGTCCGTGCGATGGGTGGGCCGAGCACCGGTAGAATACCGGTATACCACACGGCGCACGAGCGCGACACGTAGCGGACAACGGCCGGCACTCGCTCTTTCAGCCCCTCGCGGCCACTCGCCCACAAACGCATCGGCCATGTGGACGGAACTGGAGCTCGTGGTGCTCGGCGTGACGGTCGTGACGGTCGCGCTGCTGATTACGGCGGCGCGCGTGCTCATGCCGCAGAAGACGGACGAAGTGGACGAGTCGCTCCAGGCCATGATCAACGGCTTTGACTTTGCGCTGCCCGACGAAGTGGAGGAGTACCGGCAGTGCAAAGCCGCGCACGGGGACGACACGGACAAGTGTTTCCAGCTGCTCTTCCGTCGCGCCGTGGCGGACATCCCGCTGATCCGCAAGATCCAGTCGGAGAGCTCGGGCATCCAGCGGCTCAAGAAGAACGACATCCTCAAGGACGGCTCGTTCCTGAGCTACAAGTTGGCCGAGGAGTTGATCAACGAGGAGATTAACGACGTGCGTCGAGAGGCCGAGGAACTGAAACCAGGTGCGGCTTTAACTTGGGGCAGATGCGCAGGTGGCGGACGGGACGGGACTGACGTGGTTGCTGTCATTGCTGGTGCTGTTGCTGTTGTTGCTGGTGCGGTTGTGCTGTCATTGTTGGTGTTGTTGCAGGGGAGGGCTGGCCGGACAAGATTTTCCCGCAGGCGGTACAGTTTATGAGTCAGATTGCCGAGCAGCAAGCGGCGACGCAGCGGAAGGCGGCCGAGGCACAGGCGAAGGCCATGCAGGCGGCACACGCCAAGGCCATGTTGCAAGCGGAAGCGGCGGAGATTGCGGTGAAACACATTGAAGCGCAGGTAGCAGCGACGGAGAGTGAGAAAGGAAAGATGCGGAAGCGAAAGTGAGAAGCTCGTGGGCAGGCGCAGAAGCAGATGCAGGAGCTGTAGCAGTTGTCGTCTGCCCTGCCTGGTCGGCGTCTCTGGCGCTAGTGACCTTGCCGGCCTTTGGCGCTCGGTCTGGTTTGTGCGATAGACAAGTTTCTTTGATCAATTTTTTGATTTGTGCCGCCCATTGCTTTCTTTGTAATCGGCTCATGTAGACGCTGGTCTCAATGTGCTAGTCGTTGACGGTGCTGGTCGGGGTAGAAGGTGCCACACACGCAGCAGCATCATGCAGTGCGTGATCAACGCTGACGATGTGCTGCAGTGTAGCCGCCTGGAGCCTTTGTACCTCAACTAGCGATAGCGCTGGCAATGGCGTTTGTCCGTCCATGCCGCGAACCGCACCGATCTGCGACACAGTTTTTTTCCCGCTGCACTTCAGCCGCAAGCTCGGACCGCTGTTCATCTTGCAGCACACGCTGATCCGCTGGAGCTCTTGTGCAACGATCGTCTGCGCCTCTTGCCGCTCCACGTGACGCTGCATGCGCTGCTCGTGAGTCGAAAACGCCCAATCGCCGAATTCCAGCGCCTGATAGATGTAGACACGATGTCGAAGCGGCGCTGATGGCAGTGTCGTCTGGCTCGCGCTACCGTCAGCAAACAAAAAGGAACAGAGGTCGCCACCGCGTTCGACTTGCAGGATGGTGCGGTCTGCGAAAGCAACGCGGATGCGGCCATCGCAGAACGCACGAAAGCGTCCGGCCTTGTTTTCAACCTCTTCCACGAGCTTGATCTCATCCTGCAGTAGAGGTGACGGCGACAGGTTCAACTGAAGTGTTTCGGACGCGTACTTGAAAGCCTGGAGCACGAAGTCGACATGCTGACATATAGAGACGACGGAAATGCTGGTGCGCTCCGTGTCCAACGCAGATGACGGCGGAATCGTCTCGCGCGTGAACCGGTGCTGCAGTCGTCCAGCCTCATCGTACCAGCTGAAGAACCCGTCACGTGCCGTCAACAACGAGTGGTCCTGGTCCAAGCGTACCTAGTGCATTATGACAGCTCTACGTGTTGGCACAGCCATTCTTTCAGGTGCAACATGCCATTCGCGCACACGTACCACGACTTCTGGCTGAATGTGGCTCGACTTGCGTGACACAAACAGCGTCGCCTCTTCGCCAATCACCTCTACCATAACACGACGGTACAACATCTTGGACGGAAGCGCAGCAACTCGCAGTATCTCCGCCAGAGTCAGACCCTTTTCACCAGCACCGCCCCCTGAATCGTTGCCTGCCACAAGAACTGCAAAGGCTGGACGCGCAGCAAAGGCGCCGTTCCCAGGCAACAGCGACACTCTCGTACGCACACTCGTCTCCTCGTCATATCGCGCATACTCAATCTCTGCTTCCGGATCTTCTTCCCATGCTGCTCGAGCTGCTGACAAGAAGCGCACTGGAAAGTCAAAGCTCGCGGGCGTCTGCGAAATTGCAAACGACTGACGCAGTGTGGTGTAGTGTGCACAATCGCTGCTCCCCTCCTTTCCGTCATCGTCAGATGCTTTGACCTCTATCGAGTAATACAACTCGACCACCTGACCACTCGCGTGTAATCGCACTTTAGCCGCTCCTTCCATCGACTGCAGCTCAAAACCTTTCGCCAGACTGTTGTACAGGGTTGCAACCTTGACCTTCCCCTGGTGTAACGGCCACCTCGCCCGTTGTGTGCTAATCCGTCGCTGATACCGCACATCTTTTGTGTCCAGCAGTCGACGACATAAATAGGGCAAGTGGCTCGAAAAGCGGTTGCGCAGATTGAGTGTGTCGATGACCGTTGTTCGCTGACTGGACAGCGCAGCGGACGTCAAGTGCCGCGTCTGAGTCCCATCCGGCTGGATGTACAAGTACGTGTGGCCCGCAGGCTCGAGCACGACGATGTGCGTCTCGTGGACGTTGCGTTGGTGACAGCCGATGGTTGTGCCGTCCTCGAGCACGACACAGCGCCGGCGCTTTGTCTGCGGCGCAGGCATGGGGCAATGTAATTTACGCCGGTTCGAGATAGATGACACCGATGTGAAGTGGACCACATCACATTGTGTTGTCGCACCATCGTGGCCATGGTTTTGCCGACGGGCGGTATTTATTCATCGGATGTCGAGCTTGACATTGAATAGACGTTTAGTGACCAACCTGATTGTTTGACGCTAGAGAGTGGTATGGCGAATTACCTTGACAGAATGGCTGTTACCCTCACAAAAAGAGATGACACTGGCATCGGACGCCATTGGAATGCACGAACAGGCCACCATACCTGTCAGACCATAATCAGCACAAAGTCAGCAACGCCCGATGGGTGGAATGAATGCGCATCGATCTCACCCATATTTTGCGAAGCTGGCGCCATCGGTGCCGTGCTTCGCATCAAACGATACGAAATGTGCAATTGGTATGTGATAGGATGCGCTAAAAAGTAGAGGCTGATGATCGTGGCATGACGTCCATATTCACTTGTGAAAGCATTGAGCCGATGCACTCAGCTGTAGTGACAGCTTGCAACAGCCATCAAAAGGATGTCAGGTGCATGTTACTGCGCTCCGCCGAGGGATACGATGTGCATGTTGCGATGACAATACAAGCGGCAGCGTCTACAGTACACAATGTAGTACGATAAACGCCGATGCGGAGGCTGGTAGCAGTCGTGGAGGATGCCGCATCAGGACAACAAGTGTACTCAAAGTACTCTTTTGTGCGAAAGGTGATACAAACACAGCACGTCGCAAGACCAGTTTCCAGCAAAGTGTAAGAAAACAGCAGCTACTGCACGCCAAAGGTCACCCGACGCACTCAAACTTGCGCAGGACTCAATACATCGCGTTGACTAGTTTAGTCTGCCATTCCTTGTCGGAAGAGTGTGATGTCCGTGAAGGATGTCTGCCAACGTGTGTCCTTTGTTATACTACGAATGTCCGACGAAGCAATTCGTAAAAAGAAAACTGCCTGAAGCAAAAACGCTCGTGGTCCGCTATCTTCGAAGCAGTCCCAGACATGATAACAACGATGAGCTCCATGCAGAGGGACGTACACGATGACGCGATAAGTTGAGGACCTACTGATCGGACAAACGACGTCGATCAATCAGCCCCTACAAGCAAAACGTAAGTTACGAAGTCGTCACTGAAGTGTTCGTCAAGGTCTGGTGAGGGCGTGTGCAAACAGTATGTGCACGTGGGTCTGAGAGCGCTCCAGTGTCGCAACAAAGCAACGTCTGGACAACTCGATCTGGGCAAAAGACTGCACTTGTGCTTCAACACGTGCCCATGCATGGCTCGGAGACTCACGCCACGATAGTTTGCAGCTCGATCAATCGGTATAACTTCAGTTGTTTTGGACAGACCGACGCCAGACTGACGCGCTGGAAGCCTCAAAAGAGACGTGGTACCTCAAGACCTGCCTGCATTGACAACGTCAGTAGACTATGCGTGCAACACGACACGCGTCGTTGCGCGACTGGCGTGTTCGCTGCAGAGACGTTATTGTCACTTTAGGCTCTGCACGTTCTTGTGGTTTTATCAGAAGTACGACGCGGTCGTGTCATTTCGACGACCCCGCAGTACTGCAGTGGTCCCTTCGTCGCACAGAAATAGACGTGCTCGTACAGCATACGCGCATATTACTTGGCAAGCCATTGCGTGACGCCAATATTAGCTGTCTCACGCTCTCGTTCAGGTTCGACATCATCGACGGTCTAGACCACTCAGCCATCTGGCATCGAGTTAGCTGCGTTGCAAACACGTTTCATACTCGCCAAAACAATCAATGATCTTGCTATGTCGCTAAGCTAATGATACGCGAGAGAGCACCAACTCCATCGTTATACCTGCGACCAGCACCTGTAAACAAGCACCGTAGCAAAGTATCATTGCAAGCTGCATCGGCGTCCGTGCGAAGATACGTGAGTCTTGTTGACCATGTGAGGTCTACCTCGCAACTCATCGCGCATTCTCGCCAAGTGAAAACATGACAAGCCATTCGTGTTGTACATAGCATCTTGTTGCACGTTTATCTGCAAGGTCGAAAGTAAAAGAGCATGTTCATGCCGCTGTGACTGCATTACACGTCTGACTATATTGTAGGGTGCATCACAGACTGCACACTATGGTCTAGCAGGCTTCTGATTGCACATGTCATGCCAGTGCGCTAGGCAAATTGTACTGTCTTGCAGACTGGTAGAGCAAACATGTTCGCACAGCTGCTTGTGTCGAAAGATAGATGAGCGAGCAAATGGGCAACAGCTTACGTGCTTGCTGCAACAGGCGTTTGGACCCGAGAAGCTGTCACGCGATAGATTTGTGAATGCTCGTAGAAATTGGTTTTTCGTGCGTTTTCTTGTCAAACATACCTGCTTTCAAAGCGCATGTGTTCAAGTGGGACTCCTGTACACTGCACTTGAGTGTACACCACATACACGGGTGCCTCACGCTCATCACGTGAGCTGCTCTTGGCTTTAAGCACGGCAGATATTGTCAATGGTGCGGCCGCCCTCGTGATAGAAATTGAGTTGCTTGGTAGCAACGCGAATAGCCGTCCATACTTGAAAGGGGGAAAGCCCGATTTCATGCTTGTTAAAAGGTATCACTTCTCACAGGTCATCAAGTGTTCAAGCGTCAATTTCAAGACTTGTTACAGGTAAGGTACGACTTCACCTGATTGGTTGTTATTATGACAAATTGACAGATGGGACGAAGAGAGACAGACGCCACGTAGGACGGCCAAGATGTTGGGGATTGGTGCGGGAGAGACGGTTGACATGTAAGACCAGCATACGATATGTGCGAGCTGGACGCACGCCATCTGTCACTTGACCAAGTCAAGTTGTAGTGCTGTTGGAAATACATATTGTAGTATTGACAAGCGAGAAGGATCGATGCTAATATATTTCACTTTTCTTTCTAACTACCTTTGCACAAGTGCAACTACGACCACATACTTTCAGCAGGTTATGAGCCCAGCGAAACGTGTTGGCGGCTTAGGCAAAGAGGGTAAACCCGCTGTAGTGGTCAACAGTCAGGTTACGATCGGAGACAGCCAATTAAAAAAAATCGGCAGTGCTCGCGGCGGCACTGGACAAGATGTTTGCGATGCTAGGTGACTTGAAGGACCGGATATGTAGGATGGAATCCTCCCAGCCCGTTCAAAATGATCACCATTACAACGACTCTGGTGAGTCAAGCGTCTTTGGTTCGGTCCTCGGTTCAGGAGGTGGCATGATACTCCAAGCTCTGGAGCATATTCCGCCACCTAAAAGTGCACCGAATGTCTTGCCGGATACATAATTCGGTACCCGACGACCAGCAATTGCTGGGGATCGCATGGTCGATAAGCCAGCACAAACTGGGATCAACTATGGGATGGCTCAAAACAACGAGCCAGATTATCAAGCTCAAGGTGCACCCGTGGGAGTATACCCGAATGTGCAAACGCCGGGCCCCATGTTTTATCAACATGGACAAGTGCCCCGAGGCGTGCCGGATGGACGCATAAGAAAGTTGGCACTGCAACCTTCGACGGCAGGGACCTATACCATAGACTTGATTGTGGGTTCCTTGAATGGGGAATATAATTTGCTCGACAAGTTGGATTTTCTGAACGCGCCCGTGGTTTTGTATGTACCGAAGGCATCAAGGTCGACGTCTTCGGTCAACACCTCGCGGGAACCGCACAGAAGTACTATCTTCGACAAGTCAAGAATTGGTGGACTGAGAGTGAGACCCTATAGCGCGCCATGCAACGACTTATCCAAACATTCACGACCAAGATCACGACGACTCAAATCATGAAGCACTGCGGTCAAGTCACCGTAACGCAGTTGGACAGAACATTTTTTGTACCTGACAGCCGTCAGTGATACGTGTGGTGGTGCGGATTTTTTGGTCTTGGATAACATCGTGTATTGTACCGACCCGTCGATGCGAACGACAATGTTATCTCGGTTGAACCTGAACAGATTGGACTACCTACGCCAAGCGGAAGAGCTAGCACAATTTACTCAATTGATGGAGATCGAGGTTCGAGTGAAGTATTTCGGTCGAGACGTTGTAGCGTCGTTGAGACAATAGCTAAACCGAAGAAAGTTGAATTAGTCAATAAACGCTACGACGTGCAAGGGCCAAGAAAATGCTACCACTGTGACAAGGTTGGTCACCTCAACGCAGCTTGACCAAGGTTGAAAAAGAAAAAAACAAGTCGTGAATTTCGTCTTGGCTGTGTATAGTGATGGTAACAATCGTCTCAACCACTGCGTTCTGGATAGCGGATCAGGTCGTCACTTGATTAACGACTTGAGCTTGCTAGAGGATGCAGTAAAATGCAACACGGAATGTTTTACAGCAGCTACCGACAGTGGAAAATTTCGGATCACCAAACAAGGAAGTGTGGTGATCCGGGTCAAAGTACTTGGATTGATTAAAACCATCCGGCTTCTCGATGTTCAATACTCATCTAAACTACGCGCGTAACATTATCTCCTTCAAAATTTGGAGGGGAAAGGATGCGTTATTGAATATGTGCAGGGAGGCGCGTAATGGTTTCTCATCCTGGTGGTGCACCGTTTATGGATGATGGCCGCGTCAATGATGTGTCGGTTGTTAAAGGATTCAACAACTACTCGAAGGATGACTATCATGGATATGGATCACCAAGAGATGCTATCATGACGATCGTGGAGAGTGTTAGAACTGATAGCGATGCAAATCTCTAAGCTGGAACTTCGAATCACTTCCATTGGCGTCTTGAACACCTTTATTACGACGCGATCATGAATATGGCTCGAAAACCTGTCTCTGGTATCAATATGAATGATACCGAGCGTGTCAAATGTCTAGCCTGTGCACAAGGCACGCAGACCTAGAACCATCAATCGAAGAAGGGTACTGGGTTGAACTCATCCATTGACGTGATTGGAGGCGTGGTTTGTTCGGACCTATAAGTTTCCATAATCCCTCGTGACCTTCTTGGTAATAGGTATCTCGTC